GTCAGGAAATTTTCAAACATGAAACCAAGTGGTTGTTCCATGTATATATCGCTATCTAAGTCTCCATAAAGAAATGCATTTTTAACATCGAATTGTCGTAGGTTCCATTCTTTAAAAGCAACCAATGAAATAATAGTTCTGATTGTTGTCATTTTAGCAACCAGACTGAATGTCTCCCAATAATCTTCGCCATATTATTGAGAAAAACCACGAGCAACTAGACGAGCTTTGTAACGATTGATAGTACCAACAACCTTTATCTTCAACTTGCAAACCCATTTATTGGTAATAGGCTGAATATTCTTTGGCTTCTCAACAAGCTCCCACGTGCAATTTTATTTAGAGCAGATACTTCTTCGTACATTGCTTCTTCCCATTCACGAATGCTCTTAGCTTCATTATAAAATTGTGGCTCATCATCACATAAATCTCCGACTAGAAAAGAGGATACTACCAAACAATGGTTTAGCTGAACTTCATAATCAGTTAATAATATGGTTGGTTTCTTTATCTGGAAGACCTCTAAAGTCCTGTAGTCTCTTCTTAAACATTCCCTTCTGCTGGAGTTACATTACTCCCATATTTACTTGATTCATCATCACCAGCGAATGATGAAAAATCTGTATAGGTACCTTCAACTTCTATATCTTGGCTGGATGAAATTTCGTCAAAAACTATATCACGAGAAACTATGTTTTTTTCCTTTACGGATCCATACATCCCCACCCCTTCCTGTGTGTCATATCCATCAAATATACAATGCTTTGCTTTCGGATCAAGTTTAATCCGATTAGTTTTTGAGATGTGGACATAGCAAATTGAACCAAGAACATAAAAATAACTTACATTAGGTTTGTGATTATATAATACCTCATAAGGAGATAATGTGGAGTCTGGCCAGGGAGGTAGTCGATTGATGACATGACATGCTGTTTGAATCGCAGCAGCCCATAACTCTCTCGGAAGATTCTTTGCATGAAACCACGACAAGCAAATAGCAGTGAGATGTGATAACTTACATTCTGCAGCTCCATTTGCTCAGGAGTTTCTGGACAAGTCATTTAACATTGAATACCATGCTCTCGGCAGAATTTTAAAAAATGATCTGACATGTATTCTTCCCTATTATCAGTGCGGAGACATTTTAGTGGCATCCCAAATTCCTTCTCCACTATCGCCTTAAACTTAACTAATTTAAAAAAAGTCTGAATTTTGTGTTTCAAGAAAAACAGCCAAGTGAATCGTGAAAAGTCATCTACAAGAACCATTGGTGTTTTTGTTGGTCCCATCTAATCCGAATGCACCAACTGTGGTGGAGAAGGAGCTTTATTCTTTGAATTTGGGAAAGAAGGTGATGTGATTTTCCGTATCTGCGTTAATCTCTTTGAATTGAGGAACACCTTCAAGAAGCTTGTTTTAGAAATTTTATGCAGTAGTTAGTAACGAACATGGCCTAACCGAGAATGTCAGAGTGAAGCACTGGCATTTTGGTTAGTCCTTTCAATGTATGCAAACACATAGAATGAATCTTTTCTTTTCCTATTAAATAAAACATCAGCTTTAAGGTGCTTTATATCGAAAATAATCTTCACATCATGTGTACCAAAAAGCACATATTTCCCAGAATAAGCAATTTGAGAAACGAAAGCGAGATTCTTTTTCAATCCCGAAACATGATCGACGTCTTCAAGTGACACTTGCTTCTCAACCTGAAAACACCCTTTTTTTACTACAGGGTGTTGCGAATTATCCGCAGTTACAATAACCTTCTTTTGATGGTATGGACAGACATTCAAGAGCAAAGAATCAATTTCAGTTGCATGATGAGAACAACCTGAGTCGATAATACAATCTCTATTGTATTCTATGGGATCATTAGTCTTTATAGTTGTATTCACAACACTGTGCTGACAAATAGCTTCAATGAACAGACACTGATCCCACTTCGGTTTTATAGGCTTTTCAACTTCATGAGCAACATTTGCTTTTTCTGTAGCTAGATGTACTCGACAATTTCTCTGAGTATGGCCTAAATTTTTGCAACATTCACACATCAATTTCACGTGGCAGTTGCGTTTAATGTGTCATGTCTTTCCACATCTGTAGCATTCTATTGTAAAATTCTTCGCCCGACCTTCAATTTTAGAATACCTGGCACCAGTTGAAGAATTTTTTGAGACAAACTTGTCATTTCCTTTGTCTTTCATATAAAGCGCGTCCTCTGATTGAGAATGAGAGGGAGACTGTTTGATAGCACCAACCATCTGTTCTCCAGTGCTTCTTGATTTGAGAGTAAATCGTCCAATTTGATAATAGAGTGTTGATTTACCCACCCTTGTATTGAAGAGATAAAAGGCACGACCTCTTTTCCTAGTCCTCGAATAAGATAACGACGCAAACGAGCATCACTCACAGGTCCCCTCGTATCCAATTCGAATATTTCAGCACATAAGGTTTTAAGCTTCAAAAAATATTCAAGAATGGATAAATCACCTTGAGTCATCCCATCAAGTTCATTCTCAAAATATTGGAGCCTCATAGTGTTCTTCTGAGTGAACAATCTTTCAAGTGTCTCCCACATTTCTTTTGGTGTCTTGACATCACAAACATGCTTGATGTACTCCTTGCTTATCGACGCCCGCAAAGCAAATAAAGCTTTGCCACATTTGATCTTCCAGTTTCTTCTCAACTCAACATTTTGTGGTATATCTTCTGGAAATACACTCTCCTCACCAGTGATAAGATCCCACAAATTTTGTCCTTGTAGATAAACCTCCATACATAACTTCCAATAACTATAATTATTACCTACTAGCTTGTCTACAGCAACACTGCCTACACCATTCATCATTACAAATGGAACCAAACACCTCAAAGAATAGTACAATCAAACACCTCGTAGGTAACCAGGCTCTGGTACCATGTAACAAAATAATATAGAAAATGGTTGATATGCTATGAGAAGACAATGACAACAACATGTTTTACTGCTGAAAAAATAATGCCGAAAGAAAGATATTACAAGGATATAGAAACTGAAGACGGCCCTAAAAAGTCTCAACTAACACTCTTACTTATGAGGTTATTTTCCTAACTAAAGACCACTACTTCCTAGATAAAATGAGAGATAAAAGAACCAACTTCCTAGATAAAAGGAAAAATGCAACAAACTTCTCATTATTTGGAGTGTTTATTCTCGACTTGTGAAGTTGGATAATATTGTTAAGGGTGTGTTTGTTTTAGTAGTATGGATTCTAGGTTACATTCGAGTTGCTCTCCCATTGGATTTAGTTGTGTAGTTGTTTGAGTTCTACCAAATTCAGCTGTGTAGCTGTTAAAGTCAGCTATAATGATTGTTTTTTAGATGTAAATATGCGCTTTCATTCATGAACTCTGCTTTCATTCATGAACTCTTCGGGAAAAAAAAAAAAAGAAAAGAAAATCTAAAATTTATTCTGAAAAATTGTTAAATCTATATATATATATATATAAAGGTTTGATTATTTTTGAAGTAGTAACTATTTTCCGCCAAAAAAATGTTGTTTACTAAATCGGGAAACTATTTAAACATTTTGTGTACAATTTAGGCAATTGCGGCTGATTTATTAAGGTAATACATCACATAAAAATTTCTTTTGTATCTCTATTCTTATCATATATATGTACATATATATCATATATTTTGTAAATCACAATCAAATTATGATCCGTATCAGCCATATTACTTATCACCATACATTATATATATTGTCCAACTACTGTTATCATACTTACACTACTGATTAGAGTCTCTTTATTGGGCAATATATGAACTTATACTTATTTTTTTGTAAAGTTTTTATGACACAGTTCATGTTTTCAATGTAGCGGACAATGAAGTTTCAGCATACTCGGACGAATCATTTGTAAAAAGAAGCACAATCAACACGCAGTTTTATCAAAAGAAAGCTATTGAGCAATGGACATAGACCAAATAGCTCAAGCTCAAAGAAACAATTCAATAAAAAAGTACAGCACGCATAGTAAAAAATCAACAACCCAAAGTCCATTTCAAGGTAACTCAAATGATTGCTTATATGATAGTAATATATAAGCATAACCACGTAATATATAAATAACTTGATGGATTAATACTCACTACTGTATTTTTTTTACCTTTTCAATGATGATGGTCGCATTTTAATCTTTTTGAAATCTCTGTGCGAATATTTGCGTGTTTCTCGAATGTATTCATACAATATTCAAAGAAGAATATTAGAATTTAATAATGTAACAAAAGTATGAACAATTATGAATATATTTAAATAGAATAATTCTAAAAACAAAATAAAATGACATTATACAATAGAAAGATAAGAAAATTATATATTATTAAAAAGGAATATTATTTCTATAAATGTTATAAATAATAATGACATTATACGACAATAAAGTTTTGAATAAAATAATATTTGAGTATTATGATTTAACCAAAATATGTAAAATTATTATTTTTTCTGTATTTAAAAATAAATATATAAGTTAAAATATTATTTATATGAATATAAACGGGTCAACGGGCTAATATATTGTTAAGAGCATGTTTGTTTATGGAAATTTTCAAAAAATTTCCAACATTTTAACTCAACCACTTTTTTTAACTCAATTTTAACTCAACCTCACTATCATCAAAATTATCAATAAATTAAATAATATCAATCAATCATTCATACACACTACATCAACCTTAATTCACTATATCAACCTTAATTCACTATTCATCCACTCACATTATTTTAACAAACAATCACTTCAAATCTCTCTCTCCTACTTTTACATCAAATAAATTTTAATTATTTTATTTAAATATTATTTTAATATACCCACTAACAACTAACCATATCACATTTTTTAAATTAACCAAAACAAATCAAAAAATCAAAACAAAACCAAAAATTTTTATAAACAAACAAATTCATTTGTAAAAATATTTTAAGGTACCAAACCCCTTGCACGGGATTCTCACTAGTTTCTATTGTACAACAAGATTTAAAAGCAAAAGCCGTGGCGTTTTATTTCTTGTTTTGGGCCAAACAGTCCTTCGCACCCTCAAATTTCCCCACTTGACCCCTCCACAATCTCCGCCGCACCACCGCAATTATCAACGTCCCGCCGCCAGCTGCGTCGCCGCAAAAGCCTACAAAATACAATATTAAACAAAACCCTCTTCGTAGAAAAACGAGAATTGAAACCGATTAGATTCGTATGGGCAATCCGAAGCAGAAGTGGACGTCGGAGGAGGAGGAGGCCCTCCGCGCCGGCGTGGCCAAGCACGGCGCCGGAAAGTGGAAGAACATCCAGAAAGATCCCGAGTTCAACCACCTGCTGTTTGCTCGCTCCAACATTGATCTCAAAGTACGTGCCCCTATTTTTCTGTTATTTTGAGTGTGGAATTTTGCTTTTTCCCAAATTTTGTGTTGCCATCTTTTTTTTCTTTTCTTTTCTCTCTTTTTTTTTATTGGGTGTAATGTTCACGTTGCTTGCGTTTATAATTGAAACCGCCATTCTTTTTTTCTTTTAGTTACATTAGAAGCTTTGAAAATGTATATGCGTGGTGGGTCCTAATTGGAATTTTAGTGTAAGAAGGGTATTGGAAGGTTTATTTGTTAAAATCCATTTGATGCATAAGTTTAAAAATTTGAAAATGCAAGATTCTGTTAAGTAACTGTAATGCAAGTCAAAAGCGTGCATAGTTTTGGATCAATAGGTGTGTTTATTGATCAGAGTATGGCAAGAAAGCGAATCTTATTGGTATCTTGTTACTTTATCAATTATTACTCGCATTTCTGGAGATGCTGCCAGGGTTAAACTGAACTTTTGCTTACTTTTACAGTGGTGAGTAACACAAAGGATGTTTCATTTGAATAGATGTTGTGTTTGTCTTCCGAAATACACACCACTTTGTTGCTATAAATATTTGAAGTTGCAACCTTGAATACTTACAATAGAACACTATCCTCATAAATTGGTCAATCAATTTTTTTTGTTTTATTTTTTTCCAAGTGCCAACTGCATATATTTAAGTATTAACGTTTAATAGAGATAAATTTTGTCATATTCCTAAGTGGGACAATAGAGAAGGGTTGTTATAATACTGCAAGCTTACCTTTCGCCTATAATCTCTTATCGTGTTTCAATGTAACACTCTTTGGAGACAAGAAGTGTGGTCGCTTGAACATGACATGTTTATGTTATTATGTGTGTGTGTGTGTGTGTAATTTGGACAGAACAAATAATAATGCAGACTTAGACAATAACATATATGACTGAGTTTGATTGGCGTTCTCAGGATAAGTGGCGTAATTTGAGTGTGGCAAGTGGCCTACTTCAGAAAGATAAATCAAAGTCATTGAAGGCAAAGACAAGTTACACTGATGTTCCTGCTACTCCCCTGCCTGTTGTTCAGACCTCTGCTACCCTCACTCCATCGTCACAAGATGCTTCAGTTGATGTGGGTATGTTAGATTCTTCTAGGCCCGTACCTGAAGGAAACAATGCTGCCAAGTAAGTATCCTAATTATTGGTTTCATATAAAAATTAGAAAGTTCTAAGTTGTTTACAGTATGTATTATGCTAGCTGTCTTCATTTTTGGTTGCTTGAGCAACGAATTTATTGAAACTTGAAAATCTAAATGGAGATTGTTTGATTCGTATATTCACAGAAAAACACAGCTGGTTTGTTCAGTTCAAGACATATGTGTTTGTCTGTTGGCTCATTTCGAGTTATTTTTTGAGTTTGTGCCTTTTGGTCATGTTATCTACATGTTATTATATGGAACAACTATTTCTAAAGATGGTTACCTTTGCTGGTGCTATGTGGACTATAGGGACGGTGATGGTGGTTAAAATGCTTGCAGTAATGGATATAAGTTCTGTTAGAGGATAAGCTAATGATATAACTATGATGAATTTCTTCTATTTGGTGGAAAAGCTAGTGGATTAGTAGTGGGCATATTGCAAAATAACATGTTTATGTCATCCATCTGGTTTTATAGTATTTACTTATTTTCTTCTAATTTAAAATGTGGCATGATTGCTTTCATATCAGGTACAATGAGATGATATATGAGGCCTTATCTACTCCTCTAGAGCCAAATGGATCAGATTGTAGCACAATTGCTTCGTATATTGAGGTTTGTCTTTTATGTTGCCTTTGCCATTAAATATATCATGTATAAATGTCAATTGGTGGAAGTACTAGTATTTTAAATTTAACCGATTAACTTTCTTTATGGAATGTGGAAAAAGGCCGTGTCTTCAATCTAGTTTTGCTATTCTGAGATTTGGTCATATCTGTTGAGTTTTTCTCTGTTGGCCTAATCAGCTATAATTTGTGACATCTCAGTACGGTTCATTTTCAAGACACGATTGTGCAGAATATTTATATTTTTTTTTAAAAGGTTCATTGAAAATTACTGGAGTCCATTTCTCATTCTTTACACAGAACATCTGCAACATATTAGTCCAATTTGCAATCCTAAAATATTCCTAATTTTACTCATCAATCACTTTCCCCATAATTTCATTCATAGTATACTAATGAAACCCATACATACCATCTAGCAAATTGCATATACTAGAGAATTTATACTAATTAAATATGGATTTATCTAACTAAATATCGATTATGAAATGTAACCATATTTTCCATCCATGATATCTGTGAAAAATGGCCCGCTGTGAATAGTTATATTGCTTGATTCAAAATGATAAGTTATTTTCTGTTTTCACCATCTTTTATACAGCGAAGGATGCTGGTGCCCGCAAACTTCAGAAGGTTGTTGAGTTCTAGATTAAGACGACTTGTGCAACAAGACAAACTTGAAAAGGTGAAGTTTGTAATCATGTTTATTAGTGAATTTATGTTGATCTGCCAAGTTTTGCATTATACAATTGTTTGTTCGCAGGTCTGAATTCACCACTCTTGAGCAGCCAAATTTTGATTTTATTATATATAGAGTTAATTGCAAATAAAATCACCACATTTTTCCTTTTTTTGCAAATAAAACCAAATTTTGTTCTCCGTCTTAAATTACAAATCAAAGCAAAAAATCACCAATTCTAATCTTGAGCATATTTTTGAATGACAGGTTCAAAACTGCTACAAGATTAAAACAGATGCTCTGCCATCAGACAACAGAAATCTCGCCGGCAGACCGAACGATGTGGGGCCCACGCTCGTTCACAGCTTTGGCCATTCGGGAGAAAGTATTGATGAGGCTTCGGTTTCTGCTGCTTACAGAATTGCAGATGCCGAAAACAAATCGTTTGTGGCTGCTGAAGCCGTTAAGGAGGCCGAGAGGGTTTCTAACATGGCTGAAGAAATGGAATGCCTACTCCAGTTTGCTTCCTATTGTTTTGATCAAAGTAATTTGTCACAAATATTCTGCTTTTATTTTTATTGTGTTTATTATCATTAATTGTTATTAATATTGTTATTTCAATCTCTTTTGCATTAGCAGGTGCTCATGGGGATATTGTCCTAATGGCTTAGGAATTGTTGTTGCTGTTTTGTGAAAGAGACTTGTGTCTTGTTCTGGGAAATATGTGAATAAAACAGTGGTTGGTTTATTTTGGAGACGCTAAGTACATTTGTGTAAATGGTATTGAAGTAATTGCTACTTTGGTAAAATCTTTTGGTTTTCAAGAGCTGTAAGAGTAAAGCTATTGGTTGTGGCTCATGAGAATCTAGTAATGCTGTTATGGTTATACTCATATTTTCTTTTTTAATAGAGTTACATATTTTCATTATCAAATAGCATATTTTAAAAGTAATATTAGTTTTTTCTAACAAATTTACATATTTTCATTATCAAACATCATGACATAATTTGTTCTGAGAAGCACAAATAATAATAATAATAATAATAATAATAATAATAATAATAATAATAATAATAATAATAAGTGTCTACGCTTTTGATACTTGAGCTCGGGCTCGATCTCGAGCCTTTGTCATGATGGGATGAGCTCGGCTTGTTTCACTAATGAGTCGATAAGTGAACTGAAGTTCTGCTTGTTACACTCGAGTTTTAAAGAGTCGAACAAAATGAAAATTTTAAAAATTATGCAATAACTCCTACTTTCAAGCATTAGTGAGCCTTGCTCGTCGTCTAAACAAGCCAAGACTTAAAGAAGCCAAATTAAGCTTACGAGCAACTAATTTTAATGAGTTAATATGAACTCACGAGCAACTTATTTTAACGAGTCAATATGTACGCACCATCAACTTATTTCGGGTAACTCTCTGATGTGCTCCTGCACTCAAACCGGCTTTCTTCTGCTCCTTGACCACTCAGAGACCTGCAAAGACACCGAAAGGGATTCCCGGCGGTAAACTTCGGACGCTCAAATTAGTTAATGGTAGAGAAAAACTAGTTATAATATGTAGAGTTTTTAGGGTTTGTAGATTGATTCCCCTTACCTGTTGCCCCCATTTACCTATTTATATGTAGTTATTTAGCTTCCTCCATACGCTTTGTTCTTCCTCCGTCGGATAATTTGTTCCACTTTGATCTTGACCTTACACGTGTCCTTTGCCGACCGCCTTTCATAACCACCTCCACAGGTCGGTCCTCAGCTTTGTAGAGCATCATCATCGATTGACTTTTCCTTAAAAGACCCTTCTGTTACACTGCACTGAGCTACTACTATGACGAGCTAATGGGTCTCACTGTTAGGCCGAGTTGTTGCTATGACGAGCTGATGGGCCTTGCTGCTAGGCCGAGTTATTGCTATGAAGAGCTAATGACCTCGTTGTTAGGCCGAGCTGTTGCTAGACCAAGCTGTTGCTATGACGAGCTAATAGGCCTCACTACTAGGCCGAGCTGTTGCTATGACGAGCTAATGGGCCTCACTGCTAGGCCGAGCTGTTTAACTGTAATGCCTAGCTACTAAGACCGGAACTATTGTGAAAGCCGAACTATTAATGCTACCGTACTCCGAACCTAACTCCAGCTGGCTAAACTGAGCAAATCCTCTTGTTCAGATTGCTCATTATTATGTGCCATATCACTCTCTCTTCTAGTTTGGTTGATTACATTTACAAACTTCATCTAAAACATAGTACTCAGATTTTTTATTTTTTTTTTTAAAATTTTTATTATTGTTGTTGAATATATAAAAGGTTCTACTAAATTTTGTACCCTCCAAGTCACTTGAATTACTTTTGAAGTACTTCTGTTCAAGATTGTGTTGTACACTTGACTAAAACCTGCTCAGCAAAAGCTTGAATTTGTAGCTTGTTAGAATCTTCTAAACGCGCTATTTTCATCCTCAAATTTTCCCATCGCCGCAGCTCGTTGCCGCCAAATTCTCAATACTCCGCGCCGCGTGGAACGCTGAAAAAGGGTGGTGGAGAAAAGCGAATAATGGGGGCCGAGCAAATGGACTGCAGACACTGGGACGAGGACTCGTACAGGGACGCCATTTGGCAAGAAAGGGAAACCCTCTCCCGGACAGTTTTCCGGACCGTCTTCGCGCCAAACCCTAACCCTAACCCCAATTTCGACCACATCGTCACCGCCTCGAGCGATGGGTGCATCGCCTGTTACTCGATCTCCTCTTGTCTCGTAAACATTTTCACTTTTTTTTTTTTCTCAGTATTTGGTTTACATGTGTTAGCTGAATTGAACTTTTTTATATTTTTGACGTGTTTGGTGGTTTGCTTTTCCGACGGGCAGGAGATGGGTTGTGGGAATGCGAGGGGTCAGAAGTGAGTTTGCTCTATTGAACTTTCTTTTTTCAATCTCTCTCTCTCTCTCTCTCTCTCTCTCTCTTGCTTCAGTGTTTCTGCAGATTTAGTTATTGTGTGAAAAAAAATGGTTCTTTGTGAAGTTGGTTAGTGGCGGAACCACGTTTTACGACTCAAGGGCACGATGGACCGACTTATGATGTTAAGTTTTATGACGATTCGTTATTGCTGAGGTATTGATTCATTTCTTGATTAGTTGCCGGTTCTCGGGATTCTTTACTTAATTGTGGCTGTGATAAGTGATAATGTGGTGTGCTGAACTTGCTTTATTCTTATAGATTGTAGAGAAAATTTTGTTATTTCGAATCTTTTTTTTTTTTCCTTTTCTGGATTGATTATGTAATTGCGGTTATGTTTGTTGACTTTCTGCTGCATTATCTAGTTGCGGTGATGATGGTCGGATTCGAGGATGGAAATGGAAAGAAATACTAGAGAGCGAGGCACCTTTGCAAAGTAACTTATCCGGGAATATTTTGTCAATCATTCAATTGTGGCATCTAAATTTTGAGCTTTTTTTTGTAACAATAAGGCATTTATTTTTTACTTCTTCAATTATTCATCTGTTTTGCCTCTTATCGTTTTTTATCTGTTCATTGTCTTTTCCCAGGAAACAAGATGAAGTCATTGCTTGACTTGGTGAATCCTCAACATAAGTTAGTTGTCTGGATTCAATTGTGTTTTATTAATACCACAAAGTTAGCTTAGGAGTACTTTTTTGTAGTTGGTTAAGTCCACTGTTGTAGTGTCAAATGCACGTTACACACACACACACACATATAAATATTTGTATATGTAAATGGCATGATAGTGCTCATTACCATGTAATGGTTCTTTAAGACCTGTTAACCTCTGCCTAAGCTAATCAATATGATTGATTTTCAAACATTACTATATATAGAAAAAGTGGCATATAAGAGCTAAATATTTTCAAATTGTATAAAAAGTTAATATGGACATAAGACATGGCGTTTGAGTATTCATATGCATTATCTGTAATTGTTCTATTTCTCTGTTGCACTTGAAAGCCATACCACTGATGTGTTTCATTGTGAGGATGTTTAATCTGTTTCATGTTGTTATATCCTTTTATGCTCACATGGTAGAAAAAAAAATATCAAACGGCGCAATGCACCTTGGGTCGCTACGGAAATAGCCTCCTAGTATAATTACAAGGGTAAGGTCTGCGTACAACTGACCCCCCAGACCCCAACCTGTTGGGAATATACTGGGTATGTTGTTGTTGTTGTTGTTGGTAGTACCAGTACACCTGCCAAATATTTGGATTCCAATGCTGTGTGTTGTATTCCTCCAATTACCATCCCTAAGATCCGAATTTACAGTCTTTTTCTTTGTTTGAATAGTTATGCCTAAAGCTTATTGCATTACTTTATTCACTTGCAGAGGTCCTTGGGGAGCACTCTCCCCAATTCCAGAAAATAATGCTATTGCAGTTGATGCTAAGGTTTGAATTCTTTTGTTTCTTCTCTTGTGAACCTTACCTTGAAATGATAGTTTTCTTTGGTAGCTATGTAGGCAGTTTAGTTCTTTATTTAAATGTCAGAAAACTATGGAGTAATTTTCTCAAAGTTCAAAACATCAGTTTTTTATGCTTTAAGACATATTTGCACTCATTGTACCTCCCACAAATAATAAGACTAGTTTCTTTAACATCTATGTGGATTCTAATCTGATGTTTTTTAACATCTACGCAGATTCTAATCTGCTAGTTGTTTAGGTCTATGTGGAATCTAATCTGCTAGGTTCTTTAGCATCTGTGTGGATTCTAATCTGCCATGTGAGCCTCCTGTACTTTTCTAGCTCAATGAAGGACTATGCATTTGTGCAACACCATTTGTAAAATTAGTAATTGGAAAAGAAATTTTACAAAGTCATATTCATATTGGCAATAAATTCTCGGGAAACTTGGTGTTAGGAATTTGGGGTGAAAGTGAAACAACTCACCTCCTGGTGATTTTCTTGATTATTTTGTGTTGGTCCTTTTGTCGTGCTTTTGTTTGTCGTCAAATACTTCCTAACATATATCTTCATTTGTTGTAGAGTGGGTCTATATATAGTGCTGCTGGTGATTCGTGTGCTTATTGCTGGGATGTGGTATGTATTTGCTCAAGATGACCAATTAAAAAGGAAAAGGAAAGAGCGACATTGGAATGCACAACTTATTAATTATTTATGCTTGTGTCTAGGAAAGCTGCAAGATTAAGATGGTTTTCAAAGGGCATACCAACTATTTACATTGTGTTGTATCCTGCAAATTGAGCAATCAGGTCAGAATCCTTGCTTGGGCTGGTACTTGGTTTTAATAAATGTACTTAGTCATTGATTAAAAAATAATAAGTGCTTTAAATTTACAGTTTCTTTCAGAAGAAAGTTGATACTAGCAAGCCTTTGCGTAAACCAAGGTTTTCTTTCAAACTTCTTTGTTTAAGTTCTGTTATTTCAGTTGCCTTTTCTTTGGTTGCATTTCAGATTGTCACTGGTTCAGAAGATGGCACTGCTCGAATATGGGGTATTTTTTATATTATCACTTGAAGAATTAACCATCTCGCGTGGAAATACCATGAATCTCATTTTGTCTGAACTAATGGAGTTGTGTGATCTGGTGTAGATTGCAAAAGTGGGAAATGCATACAAGTAATAAACCCAGTAAAGGATGAGAAGAATGCATCTTTTCCTTGTGTCGGTTGCATTGCTCTTGATTCAAGTGAGAGCTGGTTGGTAAGAGATCATGACCTGATAGAAAAGGAGAAAAATTTATTACAGAAAGAAGGAGCTAACGAACAAACTAACAAAAAGAAATTTCCTGGAGAAGGATTTTNTCAGATTTTTGGTTGAAATCAGCACCGAGTTTGGGCATGTAATATCTAAAATACGCCTATATCTGTAGTATGACTTTTATATCCGTACCTTGTAGGTTTGTGGTAAAGGCCAGTCGTTATCAGTTTGGAATCTTCCTGCTCGAGAATGCGTTTCGAGGGCCACAACTTGTGCTTCTGTCCAGGATGTTATATTCGATAAGAATCAAGTGAGGTCTTACGAGACTTTGTTATGTCTTCATTTTTTTTGTGTCTTGCTTTGGCTTCTTTCCCTTATGTAAGTTTTCGTTTCATCAGATTCTAGCTGTCGGAGCCGAACCATTGCTTACACGATTAAACATGAATGGAGATATTCTCTCACAGATTCAAATTGCTCCACAATCTGCATTTTCCATTTCTTTGCATCCTTCAGATGTAAGTTCTCTTTTAACACATTTCTTGGCATTTGTTTCTCGGTTTTACTATGGTCTCGTGCTATGTAGTTGGACTGTGTTACTTGACTGAAGTATTCTGATAAAAAAACTCAAATTAAAGAAAATAAGGGTGTGATTGCTATTAGGAAAGCATGAACCGTTGAGCTTTTGCTATTAGGAAAGCATGAACCGTTGAGCTTTTCATAAGACACCAAGAGGGTGTTTGTTTATTGAAAAACTCAGTCATACTCAGATTTAACTCGACTTTAACCCACCTGCTATCCTCAATATTATCAATGTAGTTAAATAATATCAATCAATCATTCTTACACATGACATCAATTTTAATTCACTATTCATCCACTCACATAATTTAAACTAACCATCACTTCACATCAAATCAACTTTAATTATTTATTTTAAATATTATTTAATATCCCACTTAAAATTAACCAAATCAACTTTTCCAAAATTAATCATGGTTAAAACAAGTAAAAAACTGGTTTATTTGTATCCAAACACGCCCCTAGTATCTCGAGTTCAAATATCTCAAAAGAAGAAGTGATTGAGACTATAATCCAATTTAAATCCAATGGCGAAACCATATTAACTCATCCATGGTTTTCAGAACCGAATAATGATACAAATCTCCAAATAGTGTAATTATAGCTTCAGTTAAACCCACTTTATGAACGTCTCGTGTGTTTCTTCTTCAGGTAACGGCTGTATCAGGTTACGGAGCACTTGTGGACATGATTTCACCGTTTGGGAGCCACTTGTGTACATTCCGGTGTAGGGGGCCGTAAGTTCAAGGACCTCATCGTGTTTTGCAGCCTGTTATTGTTGTTGCAAAGGATTTTGTGCTGGATAATATGTTAGTTGACTTACTTTTATATCATTAAACTGTTTTTTATGTAATGAAAGGACTTTTAGCATCATTTTTTGGTCTTTTCTTTTCTAAGAATAGATTTTATGTGAGTTGTTGTAGAAGAAAATAACATTTGATTTTTGTGATTGTTGTGAATTTTATAAAAGACGAAAATGAATGAAGTGATGAGCTTCATTACTGTCAAAAATGGAAATACAGCAATATATATCTCTCTCTCTTACATGCTGAATACACTATTCTAAACACAACTAACTGCCCCGTAGATGTTCGACACATGGACGGAAGATAAGCTAAAGGAAAAACAAATAAAAATAAAGGAAATAGATAAGATTCTTTTTACTACTTAATGAAAAACATAAGAAATGAAACACGATTTCTTTTCACGCCTTCCCCAAGTTGAGCACTCATGTGAGTCACACATGCCCAACATAACCACTAGTTTTTGAAAAACTGAAACACCCAACGGCTTTGTGAGGAGACTCGCAGCTCATGTAAACATGGCTCAGGTGAATGAATCCTTCCTTTACCTTGTTTCTGATTAGGTGACAGTCGATATCTAGATGTTTTGTGCGTTCGTGGAAGATAGGGTTTTCTGCAATGTGTATTGTTGCTTGTTATCGCATCATACGGTGATAGGAGTTGGGTCAGGCATCAAAAGATCGACTCCTATGTTGTAAATCCATTGCAATTCACAAACCGTGCTTTCTAGGGCTCTGTATTCCGCCTCTGCGGATGATCTCGAAACTGTGTTTTGCTTTTTTGTTTTCCAAGATATGAGTGAGGTTCCAAGGAAAATGCAATAGCCCTGACTGATTTTCTTGTATCTGGACATCTTCCCCAATCTACATTATTGTACCCAATCAAGTTAAAGATTGACTTTGCTGAGTAGAATGAGCCCAATGATGGTGCTCCCTTTAGGTATCTCACTATGTGTATAGTTGCATCCCAATGAGCCTGTGTAGGCTTGTTCTTGAATTGGCTGAGCTGCTGTACTGCAAATGTGATGTATGGTCTTGTAAAATTTCGGTATAACAGTTTTCCTATCAATCTCCTAAACTTCTCAGGTTCCTCAAGCTCATTACCTTCTTCACTCCTTAGCTTGATTCCTGCAGGGAATGGTGTAGAGGAATGTTTGCAGGTTTTGAGTCCTGTTTTGTCTAGGATATCTAGCACATATTTTTTCTGTTTGAGGTATATCCCTTGCTCATTCCTTGCTATTTCAATCCCTAAGAAGTACCTTGCAAATCCCAAATCTTTGAGGGTGAAAGTCTTCTCTAGAACACTTAAGAGCCTTCAATTCCTGTGGATGTGTTCTTGTGATGAGAACCTCATCCACATACACTAATAGTGCTAGAAAACCATTCCCACTGGTTTATGTAAAAAGACAATGATCACAAGATGACTGAGTTAGTCCATAATTAGTTAGTTTCTTGCAGAATTTTGAGCTCCACTCCCTAGATGCCTGTTTTAGCCCATATAGGCTTTTTTTTTCAAGAGGCATACATTATCTGGACTTTTCTCTGTGTAGCCATCAGGGATTTACATTAGACTTCCTCTGTCAAATTTCCATGAAGAAAGGCATTATTTATGTCTAGTTGATGGAGTTCCCAGCCTTTCATTGTAGCAAGAGCAAATATCATCCTCACTATTACAATCTTAGCCCCAGGTGAGAAACTATTAGTATAATCAATTCCTTGTATTTGATGATATCCTTTTGCAACTAGTCTTGCTTTGAATCTTTCAACACTTCCATCTAGATTCCTTTTCACCTTGAAGACCCATTTTGATCCAATTGCTCTCTTTCCTTGAGGTAATGTTGTGATTTCCCAAGTGTTGTTTGACTCAAGGGCTCTGAGCTCTTTTTCCATTGCATCAACCCATCTTTGATCCTTTGTTGCCTCTCTAGAGTCAGGTAGCTCTCTCTCTTTATCCACCTTTGCTAGGAATGAGACATATTCTTCTCTGAACTATGGTGATGTTTGATAAGGATAGGTCTTGAGTGGATACATCATGTATGTCTGTTCTCTTATGTTTGCTAATCTCATAGCTTTATCTTATGTTGTTGTGTTGGCCACAAAGTCTCTTAGCCATGAGGGTTGATGACTGGTCCTAGCTCTCTTTCTCAAAGCTAATGGTTGGGTCTCCACTTCCTCTTCTGTTGTTTGTGAGGTTTGATTTGGACTCAGCTCCACAGAGTCCACTTGTTGCTCTTGTTCAAAGTTTTCAGTGTATCCTGGGTGAGACTCATTTGTTGGCAGAGGCACATCATTTCCTTGTGTTTCTTTCTCCTGATATGGAAAGACATCTTCAAAAAAATACCACATCCCTAGAGGTTATAACTTTGTGCTACTCAATATCATACAGCTTGTATCCCTTTGGTCCTGCAATATACCCAATGAAGATGCACTTGTGTGCTCTTCTCATGAATTTGTCCCTTGCTGGATGCACATTGGTAGCAAACACCAAGCATCCAAACACCTTCAACCTCTCAAGGTCTGGTGTTACCCCATATAGCACTTCAAATGGTGTTTTCCATCCTAGGACTGAGTTTGGCAGCCTATTGATGATGTGGGTAGCAGTCAATATAGAGTATGGTCAAAGTTCTGATGGTACATTTGACTGAAACATTAGTGCTCTTGCTACTTCTAGCATGTGTTTGTGCTTCCTTTCAACCACCCCATTTTGTTGGGGGTGTGTATGGACATGTGTTTTGGTGTAAAATCCCATGTTCTTGTAACATCTTCTGACATTCATGTCCTGTGAATTCTGTCCCATTGTCAGTCCTCATTAACATTGACCTTCATGTTGAATGGTGTGCTCACCATGCATAAAAAACTCTTCAATATTTCTGTGGCTTGACTTTTATGAGACAATGTGTATGTCCAGGTTTCCTTGCTGTAATCATCTACTATATTCAGTAGGTATGGGGTGTTTGAAATGCTCTCTCCTTTATATGGACCCCATATGTCTACATGCACTATGATATAGCCACATAATGATATACCGACCCAAAAACCCTATACTCGACCGGATAACTACTCAGAGTCGACATGCTCCCGTCGACATACTTAAATCGACTTCCGCAAAGTCGACTCTTCACAGAACGACCGCGAAGAGAAGGCGAAATCCACATAAATCGACTCCCAGAAGTCAACCTCACGCAGTCGACTCCCAATAGTCGACATCTACCTAAGACGAATAACAAGAGCATAGCCTCCGAATATTCTGACAATCCTAAGTCGACTTCCCAGTACTCGAGGTCGACTTCTCGCACCTCGAGGCGCGAGACGCACTGACGATTTAATACACTTGTGATATCTCTTGAAGTCTTTTATCTTGTAAGTGGATAAGAGGGAATCTTGTCATGACTCAGCAGCAAGAGGAGGCGAATTGACCGAAGTAGTTTAGACCTTTCAGGTAAACCGACCGGGGCATTTTGGGTACTTCAAGTAAGTGCTTCTTCCTATATAAAGGAGGTGAGGTAACCCTAAACCCTAACTTCCATTCATTCACACTCTCCTTCATACCTGCTGATGTTCTCCCAGAGCAGCCTCTCTTCATCTCTTTCACATAGTGACTTGAGCGTCGGAGGCTCTACGCCGAAAACACTTCTGGCGTTGAGTTCTTGCAGGTGTTGTTGCGGTCTAGCAACGGTTCGAAGGCGATTCAAGTAGATCTGAGCTTATTACCACCGGTTCACTCTAGATCTGAGAGTAGACCCATCATTTTGGCACCATCTGTGGGGAGTTCTTGAAGGAATTAAGAGCTTTGCACCTAGCTCCTATCTGTTTCTGATGGCTGAGAAGGAAGGTTTTCAGAGGAACTTGAATGAGGAGTTTAGGGGAGCTTGGACAGACAGGAGACCACCACCTGTCTCTACTCCTAGACCCCTAGTTATGCAAATGCTGGGATTACCACCATTTGGAGGACTTCCGCCGCCGGGGATGAATCTGGGTGGAGAAATACCTATTACCCCACCCGGAGTAAAGATGCAAGTGTTGACCCAAGTAGAAACAAGTCAAACATTAAACCCTAATTCAGGTGTTGGAGAGAAGGAACCAGTGGGGATGTCTCGACGTGAGGGAAAGAAAATTCAAGAAGTGCCGGAGCAGACACAAACACAAACCCGCGTCGAGGAACAAATGCTGATAATGACAAGGACCGAGATGCAAAAGATGATCGCTGAAGCTGTGGCCGCCCAGATGAAACAAGTGGTGCGAGTCGAGCAGAATTCCCAAGTTGAGCAGAACCCGCGGGTCGAGCAACAACCTCATGTTGAGCAAAAGGCTCAGTAGAACGTGCAACAAAACAGAAGGGCAGACGAGGAGGAGTCTTCCATTCGAACCGTCAACCCACAGGCAAGAGACGAGACATTGGAACAGCTGTTGGCCCAAGTCTGCGACTTGCAGGCTCGAGTCGGGGGTAAGAAGAGTAGATGAGCAAAGGAACATCCATTCTCGCAACAGATCCTGCGGGCCGACTTACCTCAAGGCTTCATGGAGTTGAACATATGGTACGATGGCTCCACTGGCCCGTCTTGACATCTGAGGAGTTTTGAGAACATGGCGGTGCTCCACTGCTACAGTGATCCTGTACAATGTCGCACTTTCCTAACGACTCTGAAGGGGTCAACCCAGGACTGGTTCAACCAATTGCCAGTTGGGTCGATTCAGGACTTTGATGGCTTCAGCTCGAGTTTCCTCAATCAGTTTGTGAGTGTCAGGGTGCAAGAAAAATCCTAACTCTCATTAATCAGTATGCAACAGAAGACGGGAGACTCGCTGCCAGATTACGTGGCGAGGTTTACAAGAGCGTGCGTCGATTGCCCAACAGCCACGGAAGAAATCAAATCAGAAGGGTTGACGAGAGGGCTGTTACCGGGACTGTGCAAGAACTCTTTAGCAAAATGGCCCGGTAAGAGTTCCGATGACGTGTTGGGGAGATGCGCTAAGCACATGAATGTCAAGGAGGCGGAGGCCGACTATCTACAGAGCATAAAGGGACCCTAGGCAGAAAGTCGAGACGATAAGAAAGAGAAGAAGGCGCACTCGATGGGGGAAAGGAGGGGATCTCCGCGAGCGGACAGGGGGGAAAGAAGATCTAAGGGATGGAGGCCGATCCAATACACACCCCTGTCGGCTCTTCATGCGAGAATACTAGAAGTAATGGAGAGGGAAATCCGCGACGACATGGTAAG